AAGGCATTGCACTATCCTCATTTGAAATACATTCAAACCAGAAATGCCAAGATTTTAAAAATAAATTTCTCTATATTGAAACCAAATATGAATAAATACATATCTCCTCAGATTTTATGCAACTAACTACAGACTTTTATATCCATTGGAGATAAAGGTGTAGGCATCAAGCAAACTGTCATTTTTATACGAATACTGACCTTTATTTGAAAGAGTATTTGTTCATTGAAAGAAGCTTATAAGAAAGGTTAAATCATTTTTTTTAAATTTTCCATTTATTGCAATTTTGCAAAAATGCTTTTCTTATTTCTTGGTATTAAGTTAAAAATTATATATATATATATATATATATATATGTGTGTGTGTGTGTGTGTGTAGGTACCTCCACTAATTCGCACTTTTCACTGAAAAAACAGTATAGAATGATGAAAAAAGGCCCCAAATTTAATAAAAACAAGTTTTATTGTCAAAATATTTATGTTATTATTAAGAGAAAAGACCAAAGTATTACTTTATTAAATTTTTTAATCCTTTGTAGTACTTTCGAAATTTTGGTTAAAAATCTTGGGGTTTTTTTTATGTCAGCAGTGGACGTAATATTTACGATTAGTGTTTTTGCACTTTTTTTCAGGTGAAAAACACACTGATTTTAGAAAATCTTGATAAAAAATATTTTTTTATTTATTTATTATTATTTTTTTTTTTTTTTTTTTTACATATGTTACAACCACCACGCACTTAATTTCAATTAAATTTCAACAAATTAAATTTCAATCTCAAAATTTGTTTTATTACTTAAAAGCATGACTCCTTGGAGAATTTAAATCAACAATATTTTTTTTTTTGTAAAACATAACACCCTGTTACCAAAATCTGCTCTGAATTGTAAAATAAAAAAATAAAATAAAACTATGACATTATTTAATTAGAAAAGCTTTTAATTGCTTTTATAAATAAGATTTATTAAGGACACTATTGTCTTAAGAAAAAAAATTTTTTTTGATAAATAATGAATTTTTACAAGAATTGTTTTCATTTCTTTTAAATTTTAATTATAATAATTCCTATCATAAATCATTTAAAATTCTGCATGACTTCAATCTGGTTAGGTTATATTGTTATTAAGTGAAAACTATATTTATGAATCAAAAATTGAAAAGCTCACTTAAAAGTCATTTACACCCAATATTTTAAAAAAAAAATTTTAATTTTTTTTATGTACATAAAATATTATGTAACATGCCACTGTTTGAAAGTATGGTTGATCATACACAACATAATCTGAAATTAAGAGCAATGACTACAGTAAATTTAAATTCAACATTCCTAAAATTAAATTACAGAAAATATTTTCGAACATTTTTAAGCTTACTGAGTACTTAAAAATTATATTAAAAAAAAAAGTGCTCACCTGTCATTTTCTTAAATTGTTTTAACAGATAAAGTCTCCATAGAATAACAGTAAAGGTGTTGACACATTTTATCATCACTTGTTTAGTGATCTACAAGTGACAAGCAACAGTGGTAAATGCGTAATCACAACTACTGTTTTAAAAATCCATTTCTCTGTTATTTTAAACTTAAAATATTTTTTTCCAATCAGATTAATCATACTTTAAAATCAGCTAATATTCCACAAATAAAGTTTTAAAAAAGTATATTTTATTTTTGGAAGATTTTTTAAAGCAAGAATTAACTTTTGTTTACAAATGTGTCAAAAATGGCGATTTTCTGAAAGTGACCAAAAAATTGAGATTCCAATCAATATCATTTCTGTTTGAAATACACCAGTGTATTTTCATTACTGGAAATAGTAAATTTAATCATTTACATTTCAATTAAAGCTAAAATGACAGCTTCAAGAATGATATTTCATTTTAAACCTTAGGTATCAAAATTGAGTGGAGGTACCTCTATCTATCTCTCTCTATATATATAATAGATATATATACACACACACACACACACACACACACACACACACACACACACTATTTGCAGCATTCATCCAGTATTAGTTAAGCTGCTCTGCCAAACAAAAGCTGACCAAGCTTAGTAGTCAGATGCAACAATTTAGTCATTAACCAATCACAGTTCCATGTCCTGGTTATCAACAAAAAGCATGGCCAAACCATCAAAGTCGCCTTGCAAGCAGAGCTTGTTGGAGAGACCCAATTGTGCAGCAAGAGCAGATGGTATTTACGATTATATATAAGTGAAATTGAATATAGACTTCTATAAATATGAATTTTTAATTAGTTCACAAGTTTACCATTTTGGTTTTACAGATTTATAAGTGAATTGTAAATATTACCACTTTTTAAGAGAATGCAAGGCCAAAGAAAGCACTCCAGAATAAAAAAAAATCTCTGTATTCTTCAGTTGTGACTGCAAGCACCAAGAAATGTTCCAATTCTCTCCTATGAGGCCCAAAACTATTTCCTAATGCCAAAAGGCTGACTATTATAGCTGCTTGTCTGGCACAAGAGCAAGCTATGCAGCACATTATCACAACAATCAACCATCAGAGAATGCCTTACTTCTGAGTGCAATAGTCAGATAATAACTTGGAGACAACGTGAAGATTTATAGACTCAAAGATTCACACCAGAAAAAATATAGTTGTGCATCAGTTTACTCACAAAGTATTAAGCTAAATTTTACATTTATAATGTCAATAAATTTACTAAATCTATTACATTAGTTGAAAAATAATCTTTTGATAAGGAATTTAAATAATAATAGATAAAATAGAATTGTCCATGATTTTACGAGACCCTCAACTTTTATTATCTATTATAGTAGTTTGCACATGCAATAAAAAAATGATTACTTTAAGTAATTATGTAATTGCATTGGCTACAGTTTCTGCATGAGTAATCTATACAATTAACTGTATCATCACATATAACAAAGAATTCTGCTTTTTGAAACATTAAAGAAAATATCTTTTCTAAAAAGAAAATTAACACAAACCAATAGAAATAAAAAAAGCAATATTAGCAGGTTGATTCCCCATTTACTGATGTGATATTTATTGACACAGAGTAATGCCTCCTGTTGCCATAATATCAGAATATTTCATTACTAAGAAGAGGATATCAAGTTGGATGACTGATAAATAAATCAAGTCACTCTGTGTTCTATATTAAAAAATATATTTAAAAGAATGAAAATAGAAGAATTTTTGTAAGAATCTAAGTGCTTCAAAAATATAAGGAACACTTGCTATCAAGTAGCCAGTAATGGAATTTAAAAGATCACAAAACCCTTTATCTAACCTGACTTGCTTGGTTGCCCATTCTGTTCTTCTAACTACTTGAGATTTCACAAATGTTTATTATAGTACTATAATTCTAATTTCATTTTACCATTTATTTTAACATATTGGTTACAAAAATACTAAAGAAATAAAAGAAATGTTTTTATACAAATAAGCAATAAATGTGTTCTTTCAGTCAGTTGTCTAGATGCGTATCAAGCGAACACCACATTGGACGAGGAAAAAGAAATCTAATGAGGAGCAATTTAAACCAGTTTTCATAATTATAATCCATATATATAAAATGCAATGGGTGTGTGTGTGTGTGTGTGTGTGTATATATATATATGTGTGTGTGTGTGTGTGTGTGTGGATCAAACATACATCTAATATGGATCGGAATCCGGCAGAATCAGAGGATAAAGAACAAATAGGAAATGTTTATCAATCTAATATTTTTCCCTTTTTTCATCAGAAAATGAGATATGGAGAAAAAAGAAAGAATTTCTGCTACTTTTATTTTCGTATTTGATTTTCATCGGTTAATCAGGTTTCACGTGCATTTGTCTTGTTAAGCCACGTTAGTATAATTTCTGGTGCTCTGACCTCAAGAAGAGACATCACATACTTTCGAAGCTTCAATAACAATGAAGCATTAATAAAAGTGAAACATGTTAAATTTATAAACATTTCCTACTTGTTCTTTATCCTATCAAATTTTTATATATATATATATATATATATTTGATGTTCATAATGATAGATAATAACAATAGTGTTATTAATGATGACAACAAAATTTACTATCATGCAGTGTTGGTTTAAAAAACAAATCTCAATGTCAAGTAGACAGTGCTACTATAATAATAATAATAATAAAAAGAGATTAAGAAATGTAAATACAACTGCCAGTTTCACTTTGGCAATCACAAGCACAAAACTGACATTTGCACTTATATTTCGTCTTAATTCATCATTACTATTTTTTATTATATATATATATATATATATATATATATATATATATATATATATATATGTAATTTTGCATTTGCTACATTTCATTGAGTACACAGATACTACACTCTGATCTCAAGCATCATGGAGAGACAGAAGTGCTGATCCATATATAAATAATCCGGTCATATTTGAGGAGTACTCTGCTAAGTAATCAATAAAATTTGGTTTCAATTTTGTGTGAAATTATTATTTGCAGCTAAATTATCTACTGTGTATAACTATAAAACATCTAATTTCTGTCAAAACATTATCATAAGAAATAATTTTTTTTAAAAAATGGCTTTTTCTCAAAAGAGTATAAAATGACAAAAATATAAAACAGATTTTCATTTTCCCAAAAAATAATTTAACTTATCAAACAAGTTATAAAACTAAGACTGACAAAGGGAGGTCACTCACCAATGTTTCCTGTTAAAAAAAAATTGGATTAAGATTTTTTTTTTTGTTTCTTTTTTTAGTTATTTTTTTTTTTTTAAACAGAAACCACCCAAAAGCCAAAGTAAATCCTGGGGATGGTGAGAAGTTTTATAGGTCCATGCTTTTCCTAGAGGTATCAGCATTAAATAACACTAGTAGCCAATTGCAGGATTAGAAATGTCCTCTTGGCACTGTTTGCCAACATTGTAACCACTAGGTTATCAACACACCTCTTAAAATTATTCAGTTTTATTTTGTAATGTACTTATAAAAAAAAAATAATAATAATATTCAGACAGCCTCAATCCCTGTGTTTTATATCTTCCATGTCGGTGGGAGGAAAAAAATGTAAAATAAACATAAGAGAAGGAGTTTGGGTGGATTTCCCCACCTGAAAGAGCAAGGCACTATGACCAGAATGAAAGGGATAGACATCAGCAGACAGGGGCAGCACTGGTACTTGTATTAATTGTAGTAGTAGCAGCAGCAGCAATAATGGCTGGCGGTGATATTCTGGCAGCTGCGGGCTACTCTCTGTATTGTCATTATTGAGGGGGCGGGGGTAGAAATTAGTAGTCCCACATACAGTTGGCTTTCTGCACTGCATAATATTCAAAAATGCGGCATTTACGACATGTCTTGATACCACAACGGTAGCTGACTATATGTCCAAGAGAGTCCCTCCCGCGACAGTATTTGAGGCCACAAGGGTACCAACCCACACAGATCTCATACTGGCAACAACAAGGTTTGCTCAAGTCAGTAATGTCCCGGCAGTGGGAATATTTGGATGGGATATACTGCGTAGTTGAAGACCTCAACGTGTTATAGTCCTTGCCAAGAGCTGAAAGACAAAACAGAAACAAATCTAAATTTGGTGCATACAAAGCTTAATGATTATGTAGTCAACCCACTCATTTGTCAATCTGGATCCCAAGTTGAGGAGAGGGAAAGGACTAGAAATACAATCAATACTCAGTCTTTTGACAATATGGGTCCATGTGCAGCAAAAAAAAAGTGGGTTGACTGTAGTATTAGTAATAATAAAAATAGACAACCCTCTTTCTCTTTTGACAATATGGATCCCAAGTGCAGTAAAAGAAAAAAGGGTTACCTGCAATAGTAGTAATAATACAATCAACCTTCTTACTTGATAATCTGAGTCTCATGAGTAGCAAAAAAAGACTGGGTTAAATGTTTTTGTTACTATAGTAGTAATAATAATACAGTTAAACATCTCTCTCGACAATATAGGTACCAAGTGCAACAAAGGAGGGAGATAAAGTTGACTGCATATATCAAGTTAAAAATATCAGCTATTAGTTTGGACATTTGTACCTTCCTTTATTCAAGAAAATATTTTGAAATTTTATGACATTTATCTATTTAAATGTGTGTATACTTTTAGTTTTATGTAGGGTCAATTTCATCATTCCTTTATTTTTTTATTAAATTCTTCATGAAAAGAAAAAAAAAAACAAAGCAAGTTACTGAAGATGATGTAACAAAAATAAGAGAATCAATCAGTTTCCGACTTAATATTTATTAAATACTAATGTCTTCTCAATTTTTTATTCTTTTGTATAATCTGATATATATATTCAAGTAAACATTTACTGGAATTTGCCACTGAATACCTACATTTATATAGAAAAATATTTATGCCAAGTGGATTTATGACAGCTAGAACAAAAAAGATTTGCTGAAGTCACATATGTTGCTTTTGCTTGAAATATATTTTTCTTCTGATTTGAAGTTACAAGTCTTATCAACTCAATACTTGAAGAGAAATCCCACTGAAAAGGTTAGATAAACACCAAGACAAAAAAAGTTCAGTTCAAAAACCAAAATAAAGAATCATTATGTATTATAGCCAGAATATTGCTTATAAAACCCACACCACTCCAGTGACTCATATATATATATATATATATATATATATATATATATATATATATATATATATATATACAGCACATACATATATACACACACACACAATTTCCCATAGATGAAATGATCATCTGTATGAGGTAAATTGTTTGGATCTCATTAATTGTAATTCTCTATTTCTCTTATATATATATATATATATATATATATATCACACACACACAAGGTTGCCAAGAACGGCAGCAATAGGATCTAGGGCCACTTTGAGCCCTCAGTAGGATCTACGTACTGTGTAGATCTGTGCTTTCTCTACATAATCGAGGATTTCAGACATTGAGACTAAAGTAATGCCTAAACCCCCAGCACTTTTTATTCCTTTTTTTAAAATGTGAATGTGTGCATGTATGGGCCCCTCAGAAGCACTTGGTTCTGCTTCCCAACTCTCTCTCTTATATACATATCTATAACTATGAAATAATATTTAAACAAAAATGTTATAATGAACTTAAGAAAAGAAACTTTATGAGATAAAAACTTCAATTCTGATAAAGTTACTGAAGTGTAACTTCTAACAAAGAATTCAAGTTTCCAGCCAAAGCATCTCTTGAGATTTCATTCATATCCAGCAGTGGGAAACATGCTCATCATTGTAACCATTACCTCCTGAGATATGCCATGATTGTAGTAGACATATATAAAATATCACAGTCCATTTAAATCTCTCCTCACATTGTTAAATGTTATATTTAGTTCAATCAGTCAAGGTTGAGGTTACTATTGAAAATTAGGTGTTATTAAATTTGGCTACTTTTATAAATTATTAGGCATTTAAAATTAATGACAAAATAACTGAAACAAAATTGGGAACACAACTCTCACACAGTTGACAGTACAGCAAATTAACACAAGTGGTAAGGGATTCAATATAGGTTCATACACGTATACACAAACAGTGAGCTTGTACAAGAGTCAAGCAGAAACTTTTAGTTTTTGAGAACACTAAATGATTCTCAGTTCAATTATGGAACTGTATTAGTTAAAAGAAAAAAAAAATTTTAAAGTATATACAAATACAAACAAAAATATATAAAACAAAAGGGAGAGGAAGAGCAAAACAATTATTCACCATAAAGTCTGTTTTTAAATCTCTAATAAAATTTTGTACCCCATCTCAGATTATTTAACTGTATTAATATTATTTGTACTTAAGAGGAAGATTAAAACAAAAGTTTCACATTTTTAATTAAAATTATAGGGGTTTAGTCTTAGAAACCCTAATCAGCAGTGAAAAGTCAAAATTACCAAAAAGACATCTTAAATTTTGTATTTAACTCAATTAGACTGGGGAGGGGTATTTTCAGTGCCAAAAGTGAAATCATCACCCAAAAAAGATATAGTAAAAGAGGTCTAGATCATGATTTTCTGATAAATACAAAGAAAGTTATATCAAAATTGATATTTGATTCCCAACATTTAGTGTCAAAAGTGTGTAATGAACATTTTAACTTGGAAACTACAAAATGGCAACTGAATAATTTAAAATGTTTATTACTACATAATGAACAATAATAAAAGTATTGCAAGAGAAATATGCTCACTGCTTGACACACTGTCATCAACTGAAGTTTGAACTATAGAGCTACTATTCACTACTGGATTAAGTTTAATGATTTAAGAGGCAAGAAGATTATGTTGAAAAATAAACATTTACTGTGTCAAATGTACTTTTTTTTCATCATTAAGCAACAGACTTATTGGAGGTGATGCAACTCTGTACACAAGCCCACAACAAAATAAAACAAATATACACTCTCTGGTCTATTACTTCATTAGTACTGGAAATGAATACAAAATACTCACAGCGTGAGAGGATCCGTAAATCTGCATCTCGGGCATATATTTTGTCATGAGCTTCTCGACAAATATTATAAATATATGGACTGATCACATGTGATTTCTCCAAATGGACCACATGATCCTGTTCATGAGTTTCTCTACCTTTGTCATCTTCAGGAGTACGAATAGCAGTGGGATTTTTCTAAAAATAAAAAATGGAAAAGTTAACTTGATTCTTAATCACTTATTTTCTTTTATTTTCATTCATTAGAGAAAGACCAATATTCCAAATGCTGTTTGGACTACTAAATGTGTTGCTTTGTTGTTCCTACAATGTTTTGGCTGATCTGGCCTTCTTCAGCTATACAAACTACAAGGAAGAAGATCATTTTGGGAGGATATCTCTCTCTCTGTGTAAAACTGAAGGTAGTTATAAAAAGTATCAATTAGTGATGTCCTAAAACAGTTAGCCACATACAATAACATCTCTTTAAATATTTTTTTTTTCTGGGAGACATCTTTTATCTGTTTTAATCCTAACTTGTTGCTAAAAATAATTCACAGATGCTAACAACTTTATCCTAAGCAGAAAACCAGAGTGCAATATTTTGATCCAAGGCATAAGTGCTGAGCAATACATAAATAATCCTGTCATTTTTTATGGATACTATGCTAATGTATTCATAATGTCTGATGACTGCCATTAATTTTCATCATACATTGTATAATATGATTATTGTAAGATTTTTCGAAGTAATGAATTGATCAAAACTCATTGAATTAAAAAGAAATTGCAGTTGTATTCTCTTTGCCAATTTTTTAGCAAAACTGAAGTAACGTACATCACATTATTTTTTGTATAGCAATATTAAAGCAGAGATATAGTACCAATCTTTCATAAGCAGGTATTTGCAAATATAGAGTAATTTAAAGAAAATATATTCTGATATAATATAACCTATTATATGTCTCATTTAAATGCCACTTAAATTCTATTTGGAATGAGGGCCAGAAGGAATAAACCAAAGATGAATAACAGACAAAATAGTAAAGTCTGTAAAATGTCTTAAACTTTTACATCCTCAATTTGTCATGAATTCATTTTCAGGCAATTTTGTGTTTTTGAGAGAGGAACCATTGTCATTATAGTTTTAATTAATTTAAACATTGATTGTTATAGATGTGATTATAGACAATGTTTTAGCTATGTATCTTCCACCATTCTTCATAGATCCATTTTGGGTTTGAAAGACTTACAAATATTACAAAGAAAATAACACAATAAACAACTCAGATATTTCCTTTCAGCCAAAAATGGACACATGAAGATAATCATAAAATACAAGACCAAAACATTGTATCTATAATCATATCTAAAACAAATAAAAGGTGGGAACAATAGTTTGAATGAATCCAAGTATGAGAATATGGAGCAATTTTCAATATGATAAGCTAAAGTAGGAATAAATTGAATTTAACAAATTTATTTGTTTCATTTAAATGTATTCAGTGGAACTTAAAAAAAACTGTTAAATCGATATTTGTTATAAACTAATAATCTAGATATACTTTTAATGCATAATCATTGACATAAAATAAACAACTTTCAGTAAACAAGCAAAATAAAAATTATTTTTGGTACATTTATATCTACCGTATATACTCGCGGATAGGTCACACTTTTTTACCAAAAATTTCACAAAATATTAGGAGTGCAACCTATCTGCTCGACAAATGTAAAACAACACTACCCTTGTCACCATGATTTCTGAGAAATCGGAAATGATACCCATAAACACAAAAGCTGTGGTTTTTCTCCATATAGAAACAATTTATCTATCATATATACCGACTCACTGCTTTAAACTTACCTCATGCTGCTAGATTCACATATCCATCACAATAAATAAATAAAATTATAAAATATTTATTGATCCATCAGACACCATTTATTTGGGGCCCTCGCACTAGATTGATATAGAAACCCTGATCATGCATACATAAGTTAAGAACCCACATGTAGATGTTTATTGACAAAGAAAAAAACAGTCCTATGATTCATTCTGCAAAATATATATATATATGTATATATTGTCAAAAATATATTGGAAAATATGACTTAAAGAAATGAAATATATTCTTTATGAGATAATTTTCTTTAATTGTTATTTCATATAAAATTAAAAGTGTTATTTACAAAAAACAAAGTGCATGAATCTAGTACCCAAAACGTTTGTACTGCATTGCATTGTGCAATGATATAGTTAGTAGACAAATTTATAGTTTATACTTTTAATTATTAAGGTAGATATCTGATTATTCTTATATTTAAAAAGAGTTGTGTAACTCCCCAGATTATAGTGCAATCTATCTGCAAGTCAACAGTAAATCCTCAATTATTAAGTCATAAAGTAGTGGTACAACCTATCCACAAGTATATACAGTATATAAGTCACATGGTACAAAGCAATATCTCATTTGACAAATCAAAGCAGTTTTCTTTTGTTTTTTTTTTTTAATAAGTGTACCGATACAGTGCAAGTAAATGATTGTTTTCTAGTCAATAAAGATTTTTATTTTGTATCAGCTCTAATAAAATTGCTCATTCAATAGATTTTACTTTCCTTCATATTTCCAAACAAGTTTTCTGCTAGGACAGCTAATATATTAATTCCTGTAAAGATTGGCTAATTAAAAAAATATATATATACATTTCAAAAATTCTAATTAATTACTCTTATATTTGCTATGTACATTGTCATAAGATTATTACATGACTGAAATCAAAATAAAGTGTTTACATGTTTATAAAATCAATGGTGGGACTAACTACTCACTTGTCTTAACTTGGACATAGCATCTGATGAAATGAACTCATTTTTGATATAACGCATAACAAAGCATTGGACTTGATGTTGGCTTTGGCCTTGCTCCTCCTCAGGTAAAATAATGGTGCGGAAAATTTGGACTTCCTGAAAAACAGATATAAAATAAAATCAGAGAACATAAACTGAACAAATTAAGAAATGAAAGCTGTATATCAATAATTTGAAATTATGCCAAAAGTTAATAACTTTGATGAGATTTTCTCTGTCCAATAAATAGAAAATACTTTCATGCTGGTCTTGGTTTAAAATAAATAAAAATTTAAAAAAAATTAAATGATTTTCAAATTAAAAAGCTATCCTTACATTTAAATTGAAACACAAAAGACAATTATTGGTCAAATTATAACCAACATTAAGGCAAAATTAGTGTGAAGGTTTTCTATTGTCTGATCGAAAATGTTTTCTAATCATGATGATTAAATAATAATAATAAATAATAATGTGTTTTGCTAGAAATATCACATTTTTCTTATTGTTTTTTTTAAATGCTATGTCCCTTCAGGACATGAGTGATCATGAATCTTCAGATTACTTCGCATTATTATCTGGGAATTTCCATGATTTCTTGGGAAAGATAGCAGAGTAGTTCCCAGTTAGCTTCTTCTCTTAGACTGGTTGCCATCTAAAACTAAAGAGCTTGAGCTACCTTGCTCTTTAACAGATAGCTGGAGGGTAGAAGAGATGTATTTATAAGCCTTTAACCAAGGACATTGATGCGAAAGTGAATGCAACAGAGTAGCTTAGAATTTGAACTTTGCTCACTTATTCCATCTTGCATGCAAATATCTGTTATACTACCCATACATTCTGCTAATATCATTAGCAAGTGTATTTTTACTGTGAGTAATGTTTTAGTTTGGGTAAAAGTGAACTTTATGAAAAGTTCACAGTCTTTCTATACATAAGAGATTGCCAAAAAAGTGTGATCTTACAGATGACTTTTAAAAAGCAATGGAGAAGAGGAAACTGTTCCTGCAAACTATTGACAGGGTCCAATGTTCACTGAATGCTCACAAATGCAATTTTGTATCAAAGATAGCTTACTTCAAGTTGGCCAAAACAATAACACGATTTAACTCATTTACTGCAGATGGCTGAAATTATTATCATTGCACTTCCATAGCTTAATTGTGAATGACAATTGTTTGCTGCAGTTAATGGATTGATAAAAAAAAATAATAATTATTAAAAACTAAAAAGGGAAAGGAATGCATTCTGGAAAGAAAATAAGAAATACTTATTAACATATACACAAAAATATTTAACTGAGTAAAAACATTCAAAACATATCCCTATTGAGCCCTTATTTTTGGCATGTTGAGAAAACATATTTCCATCTGACAATACAAAACACATACACAATTTTACTTCGCTAAAACATTGCTATTTTGTGTATTTTAGTAACACCATGTAGGAGGCAAGGTGGAGTAATGGAGAGCAGCTCGGATTGAGGAATCAGAGATCAGAGTTTGAATTCCAGTAGAATTAATTACATCCACTTATGTGCTAATACCCTTTGGAAAGTTATGAATCAATCTCTTCTCCTTCACTTATAGGTAAATAGCAGGATAGACTGAGTCCAGTAGCCTTGGTTGTTGACTAGTCTAGGAGAAGGAAAACTGAATTCAACACAGCCAGAAGACAGTTGGGCTCTGTCAGGCTACCTTGCCCAAGAAACATCAATGCTACTACAGCACATGTGGTGCTCCTACAACATAAATGGGTTATGGGTCTCATGATAAAGTACATGTTTAAATATTCTAATAAGAGTTTTAAGAATTCTTAAAAGATGTAGTGTCAATCCCTACTGCAAATACTGACATTTGTAAGAAATAATTCAAAGACAACAGCATTGTTTCCTGTAATTATTCAGAAACATGTGCATTGCCTTTCAAAGTAGCTTTGAAAAATTTCTGAATCAAAATCACTGCTCATATCCATTAAAAACAACAAAAGCTTAAATATTAAATTCAAAACATTTTCAAACTATATAAGTAGAGGATGGCTTGTGGTGTAATGGTTAACAAATTGGTCCTGATACTCATCACTACTAACTAGTAAGTTTAATCCTTACCATACTGGTACCTTTGTACCATAAGTAAGCTATTCTTAGTAAATAACTATATATGAACTATTTGCCATGTCTCTTTCAAAAATAGGTGATCATAGCTTCTACTTAATGTTTGTAAATTAAGCATTGCCATGAATGACCTTTGGAAAGATAGCAGAGTGGTTTCCTGTTGCCATCTCTACAGTTTTGTCATTCTCCTAGACTGGTTACCTACCAAGACTAAAGAGTAGAGATTTCCCTATTTAACCCATAGCTGGTGGTAGGATAGTTGAATTATTTCCTTTCCCCAAAGGTATTAGTACAAAGTGAACACAAGAGCCTTGGTTGGCATTTGAACTTGGCCTGCCAATTTCATTTTCATCATGGATAACTTATGCATATCATCATCAAACGGATACAAGATAATAAAAAGGAAATTATGTTTGGTTTCCATCATAAAAGGGAAAAAGAAAAAATGTCTAGGTCCTCACTTTAATTTTACATCTGTAAATTTTATTAAATGGTAAAATGAATCAAATAAGAGTAACTTCATATGATGTCAAATTAAGCCAATATGAATCAGAATTAACTGTGTGAATCATGCTACATACTCCCCCTGCCTACAATGAAGTGAAAAAAACATTTCATTCCCAAAAGGAACTTCTTCAGACTAATAACTGTTTTATTGATGGAATAAGAAGAAAGTATTTTGAGAGCTTAATAATAACATTACCAACTATAAACACACGTCAAAAACATTACATCACCAACCTTTATTGAATCCATTCCTAAAGAATCTAGCAGATGTTTATCTAAAACAAACAGTATGTATGTAAAAACATTCCCAAATCAACATACAGAAAACAAACAAATGTCTACTAGACATACAATTACAAGTATACATTATCATCTGATACCCACATAGACAAAGTAGAATTTTTATAAACTTACATGCATACTGCAATATTTACGCTTTTCCAGGTAGGCTTAGATTCGATTAATTTCTTGAAAATTTGGATAGACATGTTATCTCATTGAATTTGGAATGTCACAGATTATACTAACTTTGTTTTAAAAGAGTTGAATGTATGTGATTGATCAATGAAAATCAAACAATACAGAAGTAAAAAATACCAGAATTTCTTTCTTTTTCTCCATATCCCGGTCACTGACAAAGCTTTAATAAAAGTGAAACATGTTAGATTGATAAATGTTTCCTATTTTTTCTTTATCTTATCATGTACACACACACAGTAAGGAGGAGAAATACTACAAGTATAAGACTGATGCCATTAATAAAATAGTAATTAGCCTGAACAAGTTCTTCTCTGGAGTGAAACACATTACTAAGAGGTTTTTCCATGGTGTTATTCACTTAACCAATAGTCTGAGATAAATATATATCAATATCAGAGGTAAACATTCTATTGAAGGATAACTGTGTTAAGTGTATTAATTTATATAATTGAATGCCTGCTGTCCACAACATATCTGTTTGGAAGGTAATGGCAGTCAGTCAGTTAATGATGATCTGTCATCAATATTCTACTCATAAATGGTGTACTTAATTTAAAAATAGACATTAACAGTTGATTGAAACTAACAAAAGGAGTTAAGAATACAAATACTCATATTTCAAGTGTTAAAATTTAATGACTGAACAAATATATTATAAAATGCATATAAACTGTGTAGACAATTACATGTAATTTAATAAATTCCATGCATTTCTAATTTGTCAAAAAAAACTTTTTAAGCAATTCACTCCAAGCAAGGCAGTAATGCTACTAGTATGCAGGGGGTTACAGAGAGTGCAAGTGAAAGAGAAAACTGGGTATAGGTGGAATTGAGGAAAGGATAAAAGACGAATGGAGTTCAAGACAACAAAAGATGGCAATTGACATTGCATTTAAACTTTTGAAGATTGTAGTTATCAGGGAAGCAAGTAAAGAGAAGGGAGTTCCACTGTTGAGAAGTGCGAGAAAAGAGACTGTTGGAATAGAAGTGGCAGTTACATTTAACTCTTTTAATAGTATAAGGGTGGAACCTAGATACCAATCTAATAGCATGCATAAATTCATGTAGTTGGGGCACCAGGGGAAAAAAAGATTGACAGAGTTGTTGCCATGAAAATATTTGTAGAAAAGACAGAGGGAAGCCACATCATGTCTGTGAGTAAGTGACTGAAGTTGAGATGCAAAGTCAGGATTGATTACATTGCAGATCCTTCTTTGGATTTTGTTAAGGACCTAGAGATGAACAGCACAGGCACCAAACTAGATATGGTAACAGTATTCAATGCAAGGACAAATAGTAGATTTATAGATGTGCAAGATGAACTCTGACTAGAAAAACCTTCTGGTACAACACAATGAACCAATTTCCCTAGCAGTAGATGCAGCTATCAATTCAATGTAGTTGTTCCACTTCAAGCTGGTTGAAAATGTGAGGCCAAAGAGGCACAGTAAGACACTTTCCTATAGTTGAGCATCAGCCATACTGATGACAGGTAGAGAAATTTCTCTGATTGTTTAGGAAAAAAAACATCTAATAATATTCAACTAATGATTCGTTTCTGTGTTTTATATATATATATATATATATATATATATATATATATATATTGATATGTCTTGGAAAGGGATATATTTGAAGTAGCTAAGTGGTTTTGGTTACTATAACCAAGTAGAATATGGTAGCAGTAATCGGCTGGTACATGTCTTGTCGCAGGTAAGAAATGTAGATTAATGGCGTAGTCCAATGGGAATCGTTATAGACTTAGCTCTCAGACTAAGGCTCTGACTCAGCTACATATCCGTCAGTATTTATGACGGACACCAGCCAATCATATTCCAATGAGGGGGAACACAGGTGTACGCATATTCCATTATATCACTCATATATATATATATATATA